AGAAAGTGAGAAATCACCCCCCAGGGGGGATGGTCACGCCGCAATCCCTTCTCCTCCATTCTCCTCTCGGGATCTTGGACACGCACGCACACGCGCCCGGCGTGAGTTTTAAGCCACCGGGTCCGGGACACGAACCACGGTTGACTACGTGGGAATCCAGCAACATAGCCATTACGCTAACTGCTGGTTCCCTCCTCCATTCTCTTTTCAGGATCTTGGGCACGCATGCACATGCGCCTGGCCTGAGTTTTAAGCCTATGGGTCTGGGACTTGAATCATGCTTGACTACATGGAAATCCAGTGCTATTATATAATTGCATATATCATATAGTTGTGTTACAGTTATGTAATTATATAATCATTATATAATAATGCTATAATATAGTTATATTATGTAATTTCATGATTCATTATCTTCTGGTCCCTTGCCAAAATATTTCTACTTTATAAGAAAAATGAAGGCCAGTATGTTAAGGTACTACACTCCAACCTGACTGACCGCAGTTTGAGTCCCAGACCCAGTGGCTCGAAACTCAATGCCAGGCGTGTGTGTGTGTGTGCATGCGCGTGCGCCCAGAAGCCTGAGAGAAGAATGGAGGGGAAGGGATTGTGGTGTGGCCATTCCTCATCGGGTGATTTCTCACTCTTTTCTCTCTCTGTCTCTCCAGTAAGTGCATGTACCCTGTAGCAAAAATCTCTGAAAACAAAACAAAACAAAACAAAAATGGGGGTGGGGGGAGGATTTGAGTTGTGACTGTTCTAGAGTCTTGTGACTTGCATATGTTGCATATTTTGACTTTTTGGCTATGTTAATCCATTTTTGCCACATTCACATCAAAAGGAGCATTTATTTACATGAAGTGTTTAAAATCTGGGTCACTGAAATTAATTTAGCACCAACCTTACTTTAAAATAACTTGCTTTAAACACTCCTGTTGTTCAACATTTTCTTTGGGTTATGTGGCTTCAAAAGGTAAATAACGCAAGTGTTTCCTACTTAATGTCAAAACTCTGTGGAAAGATTGAGTCTATCTTACTAGACTGAATGACACTTTAATATCAAACTAATTTTTAAAAATGTAAGTAAAATGTAATAAAGTGTACTTACATACTTGTTCTTGTGTTCAGTGTATTACAGAGCTCTTGCTCTTGAATAGATCCTTTCCATATTTTATATTTTTTAAAGTAAAACAACATTTTTGATATGAAAAAACTTAAAGGTTAATCTACTGATGTGCATACAGTTGCTTTGTGGGTTTCACAAGTCCTCTAGCAGCACCAGAGACCTCCGTGAGGTCCATACACAAGACATTCGTTGTGAATCTCAGTTTCTACACATGATTGAGAAGTTATATTAATTGTATTTAAGACTTTCTGCCCCATATAATGTTGTTACAAACATTCAGTTCTCAGAGGTTAAATGTATCACTTAGCAGACCAGCAGATGTTGTGGAGCTTAAGGCAGCTGACTGCTACATGGCTGATTGCACAGTTCAATTCCCAGACCCAGTGGACTGAAAATCATGCCTGGTGAAATCATTACATATGCATGTGCCCCAAGTCCTAAGAGAAAGAATAAGGAATTGTGGCATGGCCATTTTAGCTGGGAGGTGCTTTCTCATTTCCTCCCTCTTTCTCTCTGTCTCTCTATTGGGTACATACACTTTATAGCAAAACTAAGAAGAAAAAAAAAAAACAAACAAAAAGCCAAAAATACAAGTATCACTATGTGTTTTCTATGTAAGGAATCAACTGTATGGCTTAAAATACAGTTTATTTGCTTAAGGGTGCATAGATTGATATTTTGGGGAGGTTCAGCTAGGCAGTTTATGTTCTGGTGTTCCCTGGATCACAAATGAGGCTTTAGCCATGTGGTATCTTGAGTGAATCTGACTGATTAAAGATGACTTCGCTGATATCTGGTGGTTCTGTCTGACTCTTGGTTAGACCCTTTGTCTCTACCAAAGTAGCCTTGAGCTTTGCCACATTTTGACTCTGTCCAAGAAGGGAAGCAATGGTGGGCAAGAACTTTTCAAACCTAGATTTGTATATTTTCTTTTTAAAATTTTATTCATGTAGAGCATTCATGTCCACACAAAAATGAAAGAGATAGAAGTGCATAGAGGGATTTTTCACCTTGTGATTTCAATCCTATTTCCCCAGCCCTGCAGCTTATCAGTATCTTAGGCATGGTCACTTGCACTGAGACTTACTTTTAGACTGACCTGGGGAACCAGACTCCTGGTCAGCCATGCAGCTTCCAGGACTGCAGTTAAGTTTTCTGCTGACTGTGTCTCCAGGCTGGGGTTAAATCAAACTTTCTACTATCTCATGGGCCAAAGCAAGTCCAAAGCAAGTTAACACAGTTTATGGTCTGAGTATACTATAGGAAGACTTTAACAGGAAGATATATTATCGGGAGACATTACTGAAGAAGCATACCATGAGAGATACACATAGTGTAAAATTATTTTTTCTTTTTTTTTGGAGAGGTTTTTGCTATAGGGAGTGTGCGCTTGCCAGACAGAGACAGAGAGACCGAAAGCGAGAAATCACCCCCCAGGGGGGATGGCCGCGAGGCCATCCTTTCTTCATTCTCCTCTTGGGGTCTTGGGCACGCACGCACACGCACCCAGCGTGAGTTTAAGCCACCGGGTCTGGGACTCAAACTGCGGTCAACTGACTACGTGGGAGTCCAGCGACACAGTCATTATGCTAACTGCTGGTCCCGTGTAAAATTATTTTTAAAGTTTGTTTATTTTTACCACATGAGAATGACAGAAAGGAGCAGTTGACCCCCAAATTTAGCCAGCCCTGGATCATGGCTATGTGTGTGCCTGGAGAGATGTCTAGACCAGAGACAGGAACTTTCCCTTTTTGATCATCACAGAGTGTTGTGTTTTACTGCTATTTTTTGTATCTACATTTAATCACTGTATATCTTTACAGTGTACAACATGGCTTTTCCCCATTATTAATATAGTGCATGTTAGTCAAGTCAAAGATATTACCACATACATTATCATCAACAGATAACTTATTTTTTTGTATACTAAATGTTTTGTTTTGTTTCTGTCTCCTGATCCCTTCCCTCTCAGCCCTTATTACCCCTTCATTCCTATACTGCCTCTAGTATCTACAGATGGGTCCCTTCTTAAATACCTTCCAATCTTTTAGTTTCTGCTTTAGAATGCCATCAAATGATGGTATATATTGATATTAAGTGGGGGACACACAATGCCTGTCTTTCATAGCCT